TGCTGTTCACGTCAAGCCATCTTTTCTTTTACCTATTTCACGTTGTAAGCTCACGGAATGCTAATCCTCTTGCTTGCATTTAAAATGATATAAGCCAATTGACAAACGGCGGAGAACTCGTCTAGTAGCCAGCGTGTGCTGCAGGAGAATCGGGGCGTCCGTCCCTATTGTCATGCAGATTTCCCAATTCCCCTGCAGGAACCATTAATGTCACTCGTTCATAATACTATACATACCTATAAATTGATGTAACTGTTTTTATCGAAACCTACTCACCCTTTTTCTTCTTTCAGAACCATGCCACGTGTATATGTTAGAAAAGAAAGGGGGTACGCGGACGCATCTCATGATTCAATGCTGCTGGCTGTCAAAGATGTTGCAGAAGGGGAGAGTGAGTCTGAGAAAAGCTACAGAAGCCCACAGTGTGAGCAAAAACGTCCTTGGAGAAGGCATGTCACAAAGCACAGTGTCGATTCTGCAGCTCGTCTTGAGCCCAACTATAGTCATTCGAAGATATTCACTGCTGACGAGGAGCGAGCCCTCAGTGAATATGTGACGCAGTGCTCGAAGATGCTCCATGGTTTAACGCACAAGCAAACACGTGAAATTGCCTCCCAAATGGCAGTTAAAAATTACAAACATTTTCCCGCTTCTTGGGCTGAAAATGAAAAAGCGGGGAGCGAGTGGATGAAGGCCTTCATGAAAAGGAACACCCAGCTGGCACTGCGGAAACCTGAAGCTGCATCCATCGCGCGAGCTGGAGCCTTCAACAGGCACGATGTCGAGGAATTTTTCGGAAACATGTCTGATGTCCTGAAACAGACGAGAGTCTCATGTGCGAGGATTTTAGATTTAGATGAAACTGAATTCACGACTGTACAGAAGCCTGGAAAACTCATTGCTGGAAAGGGAGACAAACTGATCGGAAAGGTCGCCTCTGCGGAGACGGGTGAACTTGTCACGATGTGTGTCGCTGTGACTGCCACTGGGGCATCCCTTCCCCTGCCTACGTCTTCCCAAGGAAGACTCTTCGGGAGAATCTGATGGAAGGCACCCCGGAAGGATCGCTGCAGCTCTGCCACAGCAGCGGGTGGATGAGGCCTGAAAACTTTGAGAACGTGATGCAGCACATTGTGAAGCACATGGGGACAAGCAAGGACAATCCAGTCGTCTTGGTGCTCGACAATCACGTCAGCCATGTCAGCCTAAGCGTGTTGACGTTGGCGAAGGACAGTAGAGTCCATATCGTGACTCTACCTCCTCACAAGAGTCTACAGGCTCCAACCGCTTGATTTCACCGTCTTCGGTCTGACGAAGGCAAACTTCAACAAGCAGGTAGACAGCTGGATGTTCCAAAACGCGGGAAAGCCCACCAAGCTTCTGAACATGGGGAAGCTCATGGGACAGGCGCTGATCCGCTCGGCCACCCCAGCCAACATCCTGTCCGCCTTTCGAACGACAGGAACCTGGCCACTAGAAACTGAAGTCTTCACCAAGGATGACTTGCTTCCCGCAGACGTGACCGACAGACCAGCTCCCTCAGCGACTGCAGGAGCGCCCGGGGTGGCTGAAGACGACACACACGAAGCGGACACACGGGAAGCGGACACAAACGATGCAAACACACATGAAGCGGACGCACACGAAGATGGCACACACGAAGCGGATACACACGAAGAGGGCCGCGTCGAGAGTCCGGGGTCTCCATCCCTGTCGAGGAGGCCGACTGATTCGGTTGACCTGCAACTGGAAAGGCCACCATTTGCAAGCAACGAACCAGATGCAGTTCCTGGGCCGTCACGGGCTCCAGCTGAGGTCCAGGGAGGTGACCCACTCAGCCCAGCACCTCTCGCAGTCCGGCTTTTCTCACCACAGGAGTTTCGGGGATATCCGAAAATGAGTTCTTTTTATCCCATTTTCTTCCTTAAACCGATAAAGCAGCAATGACAAAGTAGCATTAAACAGACCCCGGATCGTCCATGCGATCCTTAAGAAAACATTGTTCATTATTAAACTGTCTTATATTTTCGTGATTATAAATTTTCTTTCATTTTCACCTTTCCTATGTTCGTGAATTATGTTGAGATTCCGTCAAAATATAGTTTTTTAATGGATAATTTTGTATCACAGATGATCCTCCAGTGAGCCATGCTGTCCAATGCCCATGCCTATGTTCTATAACCGTATCATTACAATTCCTGGTCCTCCATCTTTTAAGGCAGGACCCAAAGTGAAGCCGAGTCGCCGAGGGCGGAAAAAAGGAAAGACCATGATAGCTACTAGTACACCAGAGCTGAAAAAAAGAGGAAGAGGAGAAGAATACCTGAAGGTCGCAAGCCAAACACGAACGTGTGTCAAAACAGCTGTTCGATGTCAAGAGCAGCATCGCTAACACGAAAGGTAAGAAGAGAAAGCTGGGAGGTGCCAAGGACTTTCCAAAGGCTGACGATAAAGCGTCATGTCTGTACTATGGGATGCAGTATAGGCTCAGCTGTGAACCGTGGATCCAGTGTACAGCATGCAAAAAGTGGGCGTGCTTGCGGTGAACCGGACGCAACAACCCGGCAGGCACAGTTTGTATGTGACGTCTGCCGAGACTGATGATCCGCTTATCCGCTGTGATCCGATATGATCCACTGTGTCGCGGGTATCGCATTGGCTGTGCTGATTTAACGTGATTGGTACGATGTGTAGAAAGTTTTGCGCCCGTTTACGTTGTTAATTGGGTGTCTAGGATAGGTACCGATATTGTTAGTCATGTGATCCGCTGTGTTGCTCGCACGTCTCCCCGGGGGCCAGTACGTGAACATACCCTCAGCGACACACGCGCACACACACGCATACATATGTCAGCGATCGACAAACGCCCGTATTCGGGCCCCGCTCCGGCAAAACTAGCGGTCAATGCGCGCCGCAGCCAAATGCCCCTTCATTTTAGCCCCAATAATTGGCGTGAGATCTTACTGATATCAACACATAGAGCGTTGCAAGCTTGAGCTTCTCAATAGGCGAATCGCCGCGTCCCCGCTTCCGTTCTGGTGGATGACAACGCCAGCTGTCCGTTATGCCCGGGTCCCCGCTCGCGGTGCTCGTGACGTCGCTTTAGTGGTGACAAGCATTTGCACGCTTGCTTCGCTGCGTTAAGTGTTAGAACGTAGAAAATGTAATTATCTATCTTGAGCAGTTTTAATCACGGTCATAGGTGCCCTAGTTGCCGAGATATGGGTCAAAACGGGAAAAAGATTTGGCCACAGGTCGCGCGCGGTGCTGGCGGCCTCTGGCGGCTGCCGGCAGGAGGGAGCGCACTTCGCCTGCGCTCTCTGCAACACAGGCAAATCTATTCCGTGGGACCGGTGACTGACCATGGGACAGGACCGGTGATTTCGTCCCTTCCATCCACTGTCAGCCTTTTGAATGCTGACGGCGCGCACTGCCGTTGCATTAAACAGCATTGTACTGTATAGAGCAGTGAAAAACGGTCGGTAGTGGCCAAATCAGTTTTCCTGGCTCCCGCACATGTGACGTCACAATCTGTTCCACGTGATTGTCCTTTTGATTCCCCATCAATATTCAGCATTGCCCTCTCCAATTCATGGTGCAAATAAAGCAGCATTCGCTCATTGACACCGTTCCGAACGAATCAGGACATAAGAACAAGACTTTATTGATGAAACCATGTGCTGCTGTGAGGACGAACTCAAACTGCATCAGGTGCACGTAAACCCGCCAAAGTTGGACAGGACACCCCAAAAATCCAACTGCATCAGGTACACATAAACCTACTAGAGGCAGACAGGACGCCCCAAAAATCAAACTGCATCAGGTACACACAAACTTACCGAATGTAGACAGGACACACCAAAAATCCAACTGCATCAGGCACACACAAACCTACCAAAGGTAGACAGGACACCCCAAAAATCACTTAATGACACGAAACAAATGCACACTTTAGCCTATCCATGTGGCCAAGCCCCCCCCCCCTTCCCCCCTTAAGACAAATGCATTGCGAGTGCTCCCGAAGCACAAATATTTTTTCTTCATCAGCTTTATGACTTCATTCTAGCATTATAAGACAAGGACCTAGTTCGATGGAAATCTGAAATGTAGCAAAAATAGGACTGTCGGAAACAAAACCCATTATCTGTCGTAAGGCCATCCAAAGCAGCCGTAAGCTTTCCACTATGGATGCGTTTTTTATCACTATGTGCCTATTCGTTTGTGCCACGCGTCATTCGATGCACTTATTTCACATTTCCTTTCACCGCATAATTTCATCCAATTGACAAAACCAGCAAGCGTAAAATGTCGAACTGGCACGTGCTGATGGAACAACAATGCTTCCAGAGTGAAGTTTACCGACCATTTTGGCAGGCTTGATGACAAACGATGGATTTCACCACAGTTGACCCAATGCTCTGTGCGCTTCAGTTTATGGTGCAGGAATGCAGTTTCCTATTCAGTTGGGAGGCTTCTCCACATGCACACAATTCGAGAAATAATTCGGTCGAATTATGCAGCAACCCTGTTGTTGGCTGCGTTTTGAGGACAGTTTTATTCATTTTGCCTGCTTAGCTCCTCAAGATTATGCTACGGTACAGAATCCTGGTTTGGTACCACATTCAGTCCCTATCTGATAATGCTAGCGTGAAAAGGACTCACGAATAACGATCAAGGTGCCAATTTCTCGAGTGCTTTCAAGATGAAAGCATCGAAATCAGTAATGATGTTGGCAATTTTAGATAGATATAACTTATCGCATTATACTTGGAGCGAAAGCGATGTGATTGCAAAATTGCCACTAACATGACAAAGCATTTTATCAAATTTGTTAATAAATTATTTGCCTGCAAGGTTGGAAATGGCACATAGATGTCGTATTGCACGACTGATGTGGGTATTTTGCCGTCAAGTAGAAGGTCCACAAACATTACGGGAGGAAAATGTATTCTAGGGGAGGGGTGGGAGTTCAGGAGCTCAGCTATTCAGGTAGATTGTAGATGGATCAGGGCCTGAAGCAGGTGCGTTTGTCGTTCGAAGGCCTGGTTCCAGAAACTGCGGCTCTGTTACCTGACCCCGACACCATGATTTTGCACACAAAAGGCGACGCCGTTCAATATAAGACAAGTATAACACGGTAACAAAACGGGCTTTTTAGCGAGTCTTGTGTTTCATTTCAACTTATATATGAACTATTATCTTTTAGAGCTGCTCCGAACCGGCCCGCGGTATTGTTCACAATTACACCACATACAAAAACCGCTTTTGTGATCCAGCATCAGAACGGCTGGTATCATCTCAGCAACCCACTAGTTTGTGTGATCGATAAAAGCATCGATGCTTGCGGAGTGAAAGGCTTAAAACTAGCGTGAGGTCTTCAAAACGAGGTGCGAACAAAGTGGGGTATCTGTTACTCGTGGAAGCAATGCACTTTATTGCACGTTAAAGTAGCACGACTGTGAAAGAAAACCAAAAGGACAATACAAATACTTGAAGTTAATCAAACTTTGTGACGCGTGTAAACAACCTAACTAACAGAGTTACATCCGTTTTGGGACGAGGAAAGTTTAGCAATTGTTTTATTCGTGGCAGTCGGGTTCTGCCACGACGTCTCGCCACAATGGATGGGGGGAAATACCAAGGCGAGAAAGATACGGGTATCAGCTATCCAGCAAAAGATTGCGTGATCACGAATTTTATAGGTAAAGGTTTGTTCCCACTACCAATGGGTATAAGGCTTCTGACCATCATCCCCGTCTCAGACGGGAGATGCTCGTACTGTACCAACAGCGGCACCTGGCTCGGCCTATATATATACATATATATATATATATACATATATATATATATATATATATATATATATATATATATATATATATATCTATATATATATATGGAAGCGCATACATGCATGCGCTCTGAAATCGCCACCACCCTGCATGTCGCAGCTGCACGCCCTCTTTCCCCGATGCGCCGCTTTGGCAGCCGTCACCGGCTCGCGTTCACGTCGGACGTAGTGCTGGGCTGCGTATCTCCCCGCCCCCACCAGGCGCTCTTCCCCTTTATACGACGGCGGCGCTGAGCGTTCTGTTGCCGTCTGTCGCCTCGTTCTGCCGCCTGCCGCCTGCCGCCTGCCGCCTGCCGCCTGCCGCCTGCCGCCTGCCGCCTCGTCCTGCCGCCTGCCACCTGCCGCCTCGTCCTGCCGCCTGCCGCCTGTCGCCTCGTCCTGCCGCCTGCCGCCTGCCGCCTGCCGCCTGTTGCCTCGTCCTGCCGCCTGCCGCCTGCCGCCTGGCACCTGCCGCCTGCTGCCTGTCGCCTACCGCCTGCCGCCCACCGCCTGCCGCCTGGCACCTGTCGCCTCGTCCTGCCGCCTGCCGCCTGCCGCCTGGCACCTGCCGCCTGCCGCCTACCGCCTGCCACCTGCTGCCTGTCGCCTGTCGCCTCGTCCTGCTGCCTGCCGCCTGCCGCCTGCCGCCTGCCCCCTGCCGCTTGCCGCCTCGTCCTGCCGCCTACCGCCTGCCGCCTACCGCCTGCCGCCTGCCGTCTGCCGCCTGCCGCCTGCCGCCTCGTCCTGCCGCCTGCCGCCTCGTCCTGCCGCAGGCCGCCTCGCCCTGCGCCCATCTAAGCGACCCATGCCGTCACTCGTTAAAACACTCATTTTATACACGGAGTTAACACTCGCACTCGGAAGCCTATCGACGCACGTGCTACGGCCGCAGAGATGGCCGCAAATTCAGCTCATTGCGCTTGGTAAGTTGCATGTGTTCCAAACTGTACAACGTTCTAAGTTCGCGCAGGTTTGCTGGATTATTCAAGAGTCGTCGTTGGATCTCTTGCCATTTCCAAGTGGCGACCTGGTAAAATATGAGGGACGGACATACGTACGAACGCTTTGTTTGTAATAGTGGAGGAGATATGCCTGACTCGAAACACTCTTACTATTGCAGGTAAGCAACACTTCTCCGGTAAAGTCCATTGACGTCACAACATTCGGCAACACGAATTTGAAGCATGACTAAGGCACCAATACCACATGCTCTGTCCGGAATCAAAGAGCGGTGTTTTGTCGTGAACTTAAAACCATGTGCTATATTTCGCCGGGTCCTTTGCATTGCTACCAAATCAAGGTCGCTTTCATTCAGAACATATTTTCGCTTACACACACACAAACACACACACACACACACACACACACACACACACACACACACACACACACACACACACACACACACACACACACACACACACACACACACACACACACACACACACATACACACACACACACACACACACACACATACACACACACACACACATATATATATATATATATATATATATATATATATATATATATATATATATATATAGCCAGAACTTTCCAAATGTTATTACCTCGAGCGTGGACCGTCCGTGCACCTCTGGACACGGCCTTTTCCCAGAGCGAGAAGGCGGCCAGAACACGTCTGCATCTGACCACACGGCTGCTGTCTGAGGTCGCGGTACACGGGCCGTAAATCACCATCTAGCCGTGAAGCGGTCCGTCTCCTCGGTAATTGTGTCAGGGTGCACAGGAGCACAGCCAGCGTTCCGCCGCCAGGTGCGCCGCCAGAAGCGCCGCTACGTAGCGGAGCTGGCCAAAGGTTCGGAAGAAGGGGACGTAAGTTCTTTTGGTGACCGGACAGAGTCGCGGGCGTGCCAAATACTCGGCTTAGTGGTTGCCGTCTATGGGTCTGGAGACTCGCTTCCGGTAAAAGTTGGCGTCGACCTTAAGGCGCTGCATCGAAAGCACCTAACTAAAATCGGTTCGCCCCTTTCCCAACTCCTTAAACCATTCGCCACCCCTGACCACATCCGTGCAATGCCCCACCATCGGCCGTCGCTGGGCGCGCCCCTGCGTGCACAGGAGCGGCGCCTGGCAGGGCACTCAGGATCTCAGCAGGAGCTGCCTTCGACGGGCCGGGCGGCGGCGCCGTGCCTGCGACGGCGCGTCCGAGGGACGGCCTGATCCCTGGGCGGCGACGGCTCTGACCGGCCTGCAGATGGATGGGTGCCGCGGCGGCAGACCCGCGCTGGAGCGGCGCGGGGCGCGGCTGTCGTCAGCCACCTCGGGACGCGGGGACCGATGACGCATTGCGCCGGGAAACAGGCTGTCACAGCAGCCGAGCTAGATGAAATACTGAAGGGGTGCTGTTGAGTTATGGCAGGTGGCCACGATTGTATCGCCACACTCCGCGGCCAGGCGTAATTCAATCAGCACGGCCCCGTGACCGCTAGATGAGGCATGTGTGGTGTACGCCTGTCAGCGACGGTATATGGGGAAGGGCCGGAGACTTGCGTCGAGAGAATGGCTTGTGAGCGAATGGCGGATAGTGCTTCATATGCAACTGGTACATGGCGGCAGGTAGTCCTATATCTATGGTCTTGAAAGCCCAGAAATAGGTTTTTGCGTGATTTTGAATTTATTTCTGCTTTTTAATATTGTGTTAAAAATGATCGGTCTGAACCAGCAAGACAGGGAGGGGAGAGAGTCTTCACAAAAAACAACACACCGGCATCCCTGGTATCCCAGAACAACGACGGAATTTATTCAGCTGTCAGGTACACACTTGCGGGTGATGTTTTTCAATGAGCAACACACTTCATATAGTGTTATAGTAGTGCTCTTCAACAAACAGCAAAACTCATCAGTTGTAGCGGAACCAAGACATGGTGGCTGTTCAATACGCCTGTGGTGTGTGACTTACAATTATTATGAGGATAAAAGTATCTGGATCACCCAGTGTGACTTACATGAATCTGTCGCTGAGAACCAGGAACACGAGGCTTGTCTTTATGGGAGAACAAATAGTGAGAATCAAGATCCTAAGTCTAATGTTCTTGAAAGAACCAGCGGGTAAAAAACAAGAACCATGTCTAGGGTCTCCTACAAGTAGATGGGAGGCAGGATCCGGAGCATGCTATATGGGTGTGACCTGATAGACCCGGTGGAAGCCAGGATCCGGAGCATGCTATATAGGTGTGGCTTAATAGACCCGGTGGAAGCCAGTACCTAGGGTCTTATTTTGTCAAAATAACCAAAGAAAACAAATGCTGTGCGTGTTGTTTCGCTCAAAGAACCAATATCTTATTATCAGGACTTATCCTTCAGAATCCGGGGTCTGAAATTGATTCCATTGCTGAAAGATCCAGTGAGAGCCAAGAACCAATATTGGGACCTAGGTAAGTGTCTGCCCATGCAGCTATGAGAAGTAACCAAGCCCGCTGTGCTGCTGGGAGGGGTGTCACGTCCTGTTGTGGCCCAGGGAGGGGTGTCCGGACCAGCTGCGCCCCGGTGAGGGATGTCCCGACCTGCTGTGTCACAGGGAGGAGTATCCGGACCTGCTGTGTCACAGGAAGGGGTGTCCCGACCAGCCATGACACAGGGAGGGGTGTCCGGACCAGCTGCGCCCCGGTGAGGGATGTCCCGACCTGCTGTGTCACAGGGAAGGGTGTCCGGACCAGCTGCGCCCCGGTGAGGGATGTCCCGACCTGCTGTGTCGCAGGGAAGGGTGTTCGGACCAGCTGCGCCCCGGTGAGGGATGTCCCGACCTGCTGTGTCACAGGGAAGGGTGTCCGGACCAGCTGCGCCCCGGTGAGGGATGTCCCGACCTGCTGTGTCACAGGGAAGGGTGTCCGGACCAGCTGCGCCCCGGTGAGGGATGTCCCGACCAGCTGTGTCACAGGGAGGGGTGTCCCGACCAGCTGTGCCCCAGGGAGTGGTGTCCGGACCAGCTGTGTCACAGGGAGGGGTGTCCCGACCAGCTGTGCCCCAGGGAGGGGTGTCCGGACCAGCCATGACACAGGGAAGGATGTCCCGACCTGCCAAACTGCTGAAACTGAGAGAGTCAGCCAGGCCCACCTCGTCACTGACAGTAGAAGCAGATTGCTGCGCCTCGGAGAGGCACGTCGACCTCCGAGGCAGGAACTAATCCGTCTGGCCGCGGTCCTCGAGAGGTCTCTCTTACAGCCGCCGCTCTCGCACCTGTCCCGGCTTGTCCCGACACCCTGAGAGACGCCCTAGGTGTGTTGACCAAGGTGAAAATCAGTCATCGTGTTTGTCGTCTGCAACTCCAAATTACGTGATGCATGCGCCCTTCGCGTGCATCGTGACTACCAACGCACGAAAACTGTCGTGTGCCACGGTATTGCACCGGCTGAATCGTGCAACCGCACGAGACGGCCGGTGGTTGAGATTAGAGCCTCTCATTTAACACCCACGGAGAGACTACCAGCAACATCACATAGCGGAGTGTAAACAAATCACTTCATGGCCCTATCCCGTGGCTTGTATATAAAGCCTTGGTCTAGTCTATGTTAATTCAAATAATTGAAACAACAAGAATCGGATCGAAAACTTAGTCTGAATTAGTTAAAACTAGCAATATAAAGATCCTTGATTTTGGAGCAATTTCGCGTGATTTTTCAATCCATCTGAATCTGAATTGAATGAAGAATGCCTCTGCCTGTATGCGGTGCTTCTGCATATAACTTTAGCAACGGATCTCACATAGGGAATGCAATATGTCGATTTGAGCGCTTCATTTCGACTGTATGCCTAAATCATGGTTCGGAAAACCCATACCCTGAGGCTGGCACGGTGTCAGAAAACTTGTCGCTTAGGAGGGTTAAAATCGAGTGTCCAAATGAGGCCGCTTCGTCAAATATTTGTTAGCTCTTTGATATTTATGCTGCGAAGATATCCTGAATGCGCTTTTTAATTAATATCTAACTATGTGTGCTTTGGTCGTAATGAGGTGCTCAGTAAACCTAGAAATGCCAAATATCTTACAGTCTACCGCAAAAAACAGACAACTCCCAGTGAAGGCTCAAAGGAAACAAGATTCGGAACATACGTTCAAAGGATATGAAGTAAACAGAACAGAAACCTCTTATTTCTAAGGACCGTTTTACGTATGGAAAAGGGTAAGGAAACATCACCTCAAAGAGTTTCATTTCAAGCTCACCCAAGAGAGACAAAAAACAACAACAAAGAAACTCGTTAAGTCGGATTAGACCTATCAGAAGATGCTCCAACTTATTTTCTAGATTATCGTTCAAAATTACAACATCGCCGACTTCCACCTGCCACTGTCGCCTAATGTGACAAGACGACCGTAGTATACGTGAGGTGTATGTTTCTTTCCATGGCGAATATTAAAACGAAAACATTAAAACATTATTTAATCTCCTGAGCAAGCATCTGGTAAAAAGAAGAATGTCTTTTGTATCGCGAGATGCCGTTTCTTGATGTATTAGCTCAACAAAAGTTGTCCGTTAGCCTAATGCTTTTCAGGTGCCATTGAATTAGATCGATCCCCATTCAGGCCAGACCATCTAAGCAAGCGAGGTGAAATCACAAGAGGATTGGACAAGGCCTCGCAAGATTAATTGTGGGAGGGGAGGGTAAAGGACACTGTTTTTTTCTGAGTAATGTTAAGCGATTTCTTAAGGAAATCAAAGGGAAGTGTTAAAATGGCATCAAAAGTTCAGAGGACACGTTTCGACACCTGGTTTCGATCAGTTCATATATTAATTACGGTGGCACACAGAAAGTCTGCCAGATAAGGTAAAGGCAGGAAAAGCAAGGTAATAAACGCCGGGTCGAACAAAACTTAGTACATACATCGCAGCATTATACTACAATTACACTAGATGCGCATTGAAAGCGAAAACTTTGGTTTACACTTAGCATTGGGATGCTTGTGTTTGTAGCTGACAGTAGCGTGGCGCAACTGCTACGGCAGTGAATGTGTGTACATTTTGAATGCAAGCTGCCCCCGACGTTGCATGCCCAGAAGCAAGAAGCCCTCAGAGAATTGTACACCGCATTACACTGACAGCTTGCATTGACCGTTGGCAAACAATTCAGCCTATTCCATTGCAAACTGGAAGAACAATCCCGATTCGTTCCAGCTTCGAACACACGACCTTTCGATTCGATGGATCCGACACGCTCCCCATGGAGATAGAAGGGGCCTCCTGCTTCGAAAACGGGGCCTGCTACATGCAGAGCCTGTCTCCTAACGCAGAGCAGCGGCCTCCAGAACCAGCGAAGGGGCCATCTAAACACAACATTGGGCCTGTTGACCTAGAGAATAGGCTACTTTATTCATAAAAGCGGCCTTACTACGATCCAGAAGAAGGGCCTCTTGATGTAGGAAAGAGTCGCCTGAGCCTGATTTATTGCTCTCTTCTCAGTTATGCCGGCCTTCATGACCTGAATTTTGGTAATCTATTGCTAACCACAATCCCTTTAGTTTTGGCGCAAAGGCCTCACAAGAATTTTGAGGGAGCAAAAACATACTCGCCTGCTGGCAGCAGGGCAAGCCCCACCCCACCTGCTGTGTCGTCCATCCTTTCCGTGATCCACTACACTCAGTCATTTAAAACACAACTCATCTGATGTCATACATCTTCCACAAAACCACACCACCTCTCAGCAAAGACATGAACGCATTCAAAATCTACAGCAACGCAGTTATACTTGAACATGCACATCAACGTACGTGCAACCATACGTGAACGTATGCCCTGGAATTTATTCCCAAACACACCAAACATCCATGTTACCATGCATCGTCGTGCCTTTTTACTTCTCTTTTTAATATGTTAGGACCTAACTTGCTCAGCAACGCAAATATTTAGTACTCCGGAAAACGAGGTCTGCCATTAGAAACGCAAGCAAAACTGTGAATCATTGATACCTCACGCCGTGCTTCATGCCCTCCGATGTGGCCAGTCCAACCACCTGCACAGGAACACACACAATGAGGTTGTGAGCTGACACCATCTTCACCGCAACTCTGTCAGTTGCAAATGTGGCATGATGTAATTTGGCGCCGTTTGGCATAGAGAGTTAAAGGAATGCGCTTTTCTCTTCTCGTTACATCAGACGCGTACGATGTGATTAGTGGCACCAGTTTTCTTAAAATCCCTCCCAATAGCTCAGAATTTCGATTTGAAGTGGCCGAATTGCGGGAGAAAAAAATGCGGGAGAAATTTTGTTTTACTCCATGCTCACCACTGTGAAAGAAATGCATTTTATTTGCCTTGCTTTTCCAACCTGCGTCTTCTGCAATGCTTGCAACACACTAGTATGTCACAATTCGTGTGTAATTAATGTTACGAAAGCTTGAAACACCGCCAATGCACGGTGGGACACCCCCTTTAATGGAAGTCACATACGATCTGAAACGCACACCTTTTCAATACAGGAAACCATCCCAGCAACGTATGCCTGCCACAAGACGGAAAACAGATCCCACTTCCTTATAAATTATTGTCATCCCCATGCACATCAAGGAATCAAGCTATTCGGCCACATTTCATTTTGCCTAACGATTTTTCTCAGATTTTTACTAACACACGGCTCGTCATTATTTTACTTGCAATGCATGTGAACCCCAGCGAATGGGATTTGGGCGCCTGTGCCTACCACTCACCACAGTTTCCTTCGAAATCAGAAGATTTTCCATTACAAAAGTACAACTGGCAACGGAAAAATCGTGTTGTGTGAAGAAAAGAGTGACACTGGCGGCCGGGCCTGGTGAAGGGCGAGAGTTTCTCGTCGTTCCACCATCCGAGGTCGAGACGCCGGCAGCTGCTGACCGAGCGCCGGCTGCTGGGTTGCGCTGCCTCGCGCCTGGAGCGGGAGTGGTGCGGGACGGCAGATGGAATCAGATATGTAGATTGACCTAGACGGCGGCCGATGCCCAGCGGAGGTGGCTGGTGCCCGGCGGAGGTGGTCGGATGCATCTGTGATCACGTTGCAAGAAGTGCCTCATGACATGTGGTCTCCCACATCAATCACCATTGGGCGTTAGTTGCTGATATCTCCCATGGAAGAATGTCTTGATGGATGATATAAATTCGACTTCTCATTTCCGCGGAAGGTCCACTAAGATCAGTGACCTATGCTGTGAAACGTGTACGGTGTCTGGCTTAGTGCCAAATGTGTAAATATCTAAATTCATGCTGTTTCGTAGGTCGTATCAACGGTTAGCGCTGTGTGCGGGATCCAAGCAGTGACGCGTATTAACGCTTTGGGCGTGTGGTTCGGTGTCAAAGCGAACTGCGGGGCACACATCTCAGGGTGATATCCCACAGCGTATTACTCACCATAAAGATGTGACACCAGGGGATCCTGGGAGTAATAGGTAAGATAATGGTAGTGATATACCTGACAATGTCAAAATAACTTTTAACTAATTGTGTTTGAATATATAAATGCATTATAGTTTAACCGTCAATATTATAAGGTATTCAAATGGATGCATTATTATACCTTGTCACAATCTAGGCGATGCAGCGACGGCTACTGCAGACTAATCTCACAAAGTTTCTGTGGAGGGAGACCTCAGTCTCTTTGGAGGACAGCCCAAGGGATCTCTGCAAAGGTTCTTTACCAGAATATATCTGATGGTGACCTTGTGCTCTAGAGGTATGCCGCTCGGATCCAAGCCTGAGGTTAGATCCGTGGGCAGAGTGTCACCGGATGGATCTTTGTCTAAACTGCTGCAAGTTAGATGCGGCCATTATGATGTGTGTGACTTATTCAGTAAGACCGATCCCGAAGGAATTGAGTTTTCACAGGTATGCGTACACATTACTGGATCGTCAGGAGCCGCCCACCCGTCATGTGTACCCATTACTGGATCATCAGGAGCCGCCACCCGTTATGTATACATTACTGGATCGTCAGGAGCTGCACACCCGTTATGTACACATTACTAGATCAGCAGCCGCCCACCCGTTCATCCCATATAAGCAAAGCATTGGTTCGGATGATTTATTTCATT